GCTCGACTCTGGCCAGTCTGCTGGGTAATAACCCATGAGGAAACAGCTCGACTCTGGCCAGTCTGCTGGGGAATAACCCATGAGGAAACAGCTCGACTCTGGCCAGCCTGCTGGGTAATAACCCATGAGGAAACAGCTCGACTCTGGCCAGCCTGCTGGGTAATAACCCATGAGGAAACAGTTTGACTCTGGCCAGTCTGCTGGAGTCTGGCGAATCGTTTGCTTAATGCCTCAGTATTTTAGTCGCTCCCTCCTGAGTTCACACGGCTGGATGTTTCTTTCGGCATTCTCTTTTTTTTGCGGACCTCTAGAGCACCATTTGCTCATGCTGTGCACATTTCTTTCTCTCGTCCCGTCACACCATGACACCTGGGCTGATGCCACCGTTCTGTGCTGCGGCAGTCAGAGATGCTGCCACAGCGGGTCACGCCTGTGTGATTCCCCCCACCCCCAGCAGATCTGTAAGGCCTGCACTCCTGTGGCACATTAGTCCTCAGGAAGGGATTAGGCAGAAGACCCAGCAGCCCCCCTCCGTTCCCCCATCTTGGCTGACCGACACATTTGTGTCATGTTTATTTTGCATAACCGTAGACCGTGTCAGTGGGGGGGGTTTTCCTCCAACATACGGATTCCGTTTGGACGTCTTCATCCCACGGGTGGGTGACTGGCAGGCAAGCAGGCCGTGCACTCTTTCCATCTTTGTTTTTCTCCTTTAATGTGCTCTGCGTTCGCTCCTGAGAGCATTCCAGAGGCTCGTCATCAAGCTCATCAGCATGAAATGATAGAATCGTTTGTAATGCGCTGGTGTCACTTTAGGACTGACTTGGGGAAATCAGTCTATGTAAATAGATATATACATGAGAGGGAGGGGCACATACTCTTGGTCTTGGTCTCATGTCAGTTGTAGTATTTAATGTGAGATGGTTCAGTGTTTGGAATTGGACGGGAAATGTTAGACTTTTTTTATTACTCGTTTTGGTGTAACAAAATGCTTTAGAAACAGGACCGTGTGCATTTGTACCCTTGATGTGGTTGCTGTAATTATGCCGATGTGCTTCAGCAAGCATCCAGCCTTGAATGCGATGTTTCGAGCTGTACATGTCGTAATTTTTCTATAAAAAGCCTCTTCTGTGCAAATACCTGCTGTGTTCCGGAAATGTAATGCTTGTGATGTGGCTCCCAGCAGACTAAAACGATGTATATGATCTCTGAGTGTGCTATTATGATGTCGTTTAAAAATACTTGAAGCCATTTCCCTGTTGAAATAATATAATGATTGTGATTTGCTGTTTTTGTGTGCCATTCTTCAGAGGTTGTGTTTTTGTGTTAGTTGCAGCAGCAGAAATAATTGCGCTATACAGGGATACAAATTTGGGAATGTTTTTTGCACTTTATTACAGGAGGAGGACAATCTAACAAACGCTTTACAGTGTTGACTAATATCGAGGGCCTTGCTTTGCCGTCCAAACAGCTTCAGTCCCCTCGGAATGCAGTCATACAGTTCTGTCCTGATCTGTGTGTAGTATGCAATTTTTAAGAAGAAAAGACCGCTAGATTGAAGGATGAAGATGAAAGTCTGCTTTGAGCTATATGCTGTTGGACTTCCCGTAAAAGTTCAGCGATGCTTAGATTGTGAGGTTGGCGAGGTCATGGAAGGCTTTTGATTGGTGATCATGAAACAACTGTTAATATAGCAGCATATGTAGGGGTATTATGGTTAACAATCTGCTTCTGGAGATGCCTCCTTATTCCTTCACCATTGATTCACCATACAGACCAATCATGGGACCTAATAACTGCATTGTGAACCCCCCCCCCCCCTCCAGTTAACAGCTGGCTTCCTCCAAATGTAAATACTGTGTGTAGTAAGTAAGGTGAACAATCACTCCTCACACCATATTACTCTTTAGTACTTTAGTATTGACCAGCAGTCCAATGTTTGTGCTGCTTACACTTGGTTATATGTCTTTGAAAACCGCTCGTTTCCAAGGCCATCGAATAACCATTAGCCTCACCATTTATTCCCACTTATGAAACTCAGTGTATAATTGTTGTATAGCTTCTGTTGATGCTGGGTCACAGGAACTGGCTCAGTTCTGTGGATTTCCGGCTGATGAGGAAGCGTACATGCCTTTGTTGCCTATAGCCACCTAACTGCCTTTTGTGTCGCGTTTATCTTGCATAAGTGTAGTGTGTGTCAGTGGGGGGGTTTCTAACTGCCTTTTGTTCTGCAATGCCTCACAGCTTCGCCTCTGCCTCAACCGCCCCCACCTTTGGCAGTCTGGCCACTCAGACCACCCCATCCTTTGGGAACCTAGCTCCCCCGGCTTCCGCGTTCGGGGCTCAGACCGGCGGCTTCTCCGGTTTCGGTTCCCCGGGAGGTAAGTGCCAGCTACCCACTGTCCTCTGCTGTAGCAGATAATGAATGCAGGTGCCTAGAGGCAGCATAGAAGAACGGCATGCAGAATTCAGAAGAGCTGTCTGTGTGTCAGTGAGATGCAGCTCTTTCTAATGACGTGCCTGTTCATACCAGTTAGTCCATCGGCCCTTTGAAAATGTTACAGTAGAAGACGAAGTATTGTGAGGTTCTGGGAAGGTCATCTTTCATTAATGGGGTGTTGGTTGAAAGCTGGAAATTTCTTTTACAACCTCACTGTGCAAAATATTAGTCCAGGCACTGCTAACCTGCCATGCGATTTGCGTACACTGGAGTTTTTACCGAGAGCCCAGGTAGGACTGTAGGAGGTCTGGTCTTGGCAGCCGGGCTCGTCACACGACGCGCCCATCAGCTCCACCCCTTTATTGACTGAGCTTTGTGTGGCGGTTGCCGTGGAGACGGCAGCATCCCACCAGTCAGTTCCTTATTAACCCACATAGTGAGGTGGTCTGGTACCGTCGGTGAGTGTTGCGCTCCCACAGTAACACTTAGTGTCCCATTTTCTCGGGAAATGGGGAAAACCACAGCCTCATTTGCTATTCTCGTTTAATTTATGTTTTGGTACTGCAGTCAGTCAATGAATTTAAAAAAAAAAAAAAAAAAAAACGAATAAGAGCCACTTGCAGACCAATTAATGGTTAATGGTCCACAGTGGCTATTTGAGATAGCATTGTGTACTACCAAGCAGTAACCATGTTTACTAATTTTATTATCCTGTAATCTTTCAGCGTTCACTGGCAACTTTGGATCCACCAATCAGTAAGTAGTAAGTTTTTGTGTGAGAAGCGTCTGACCTTGTGAGAGTGTGTGGTATGTGGTGGGGGGGGGGCGGGGGAGCTCTGTTCTCCTGCTATCGCTGCGGCTCTCGTTCTGTTGCACCGAGCGCTCGTCTCCTGTGAACGAACCCGCTTCTTGTCCTTGGCTCATCTGTCTGCTTCTCCCCGCATTCCTGCAAAATTTAGACCACTCCTGCAAAGCCTAGACCGACTAAACCTTACACTGTTGTCAAGTGATTGTCTGCCGAGCTCCACAACATGTCTGGGTGTCATGGAGACATGCACAAATATGTGGTGTGCTGTATATAATACATAATTTACTATACGCTGAAAGTCAGTGTAATAAAATGGATATGATGTAGGATATCGTGTAAATGTATAGCTTATGTAATGACACTTGGGGCTTTAAAACCAAAGCCCTGACAAGATGGTTCTGCACAAAGTGCTTCTAAACCTAGAAAGTAGGGATTTCATGTCCTCAGAGCCTCACATACTTGCTTGTGACAACCTGCAATCACAGATAATGTTAATTTGACGTCATCTAGGCCAGACTTATCTAGAAACAATGCATGGACAGGATGTTCTGAAGACCCCTGAGGTGGGATCCATCTGTTCTGATTTGAGTTCAGATGCTGCAACCCATCCTTCCCTCCTCTGCCGCTTCAGGTGCCTTGCTCATACCCTCTTTTCTGGCATCTTCTGGTGCTCTCCCCGCTCTGCCTTGCTGCCCACCCCTCTGAGCTTCACCTTTGACCCCTATTGTCCTCCATTTTGGCTCTTAAACGGCTGCCTTTGTTGCGTTGTTCTATGTCTCAGGTCAGTTCTGATTTCTGAAATGCATCTGAAATGCCAAAATAGTTCCTTCAGCAGACCTATGCATCTGTTATTCCTTCCAGAAATTCTCAAACATTCGGTGGTTGGAGGAGCTAGTTGGAGACCCCGCAGACGGCCTGCACCCCCGAGATATGGCCTGCATCTCCTCTGCAATCAAGCCCACTAGCATGGAGCCTGGGGCTGGGAGCTGAGGGGAATGGGGCGGGGGGGGGCGCCTGTCCTGCTAAAAACCCACAAAAGGGCTGCTTTTAAATAAAATATTTCTTTGCTGCAATTTTGTATTTCCATGCTAGTGATGGGTATCCAGGGAGCGGCGCTGCATGCATTACTGAGGGCAAAATGCGCACAGAAGCCACATCAGGGGGACTTGATGCAGGCAGTCGTACATTTTATTACCATTTGTAGGCACTTCGTTAAATTGGCTTCAAGGCTCTTCGCTTCGCCCAGAGCTAATCTCTGTTCCCCGTGCAAACCTGCTCTTACTGCCATGAGTGTGTGTTTCTTTTGTAACTCTGATTCTTGTTGAGTCCGTGCAGTGCTAACACAACCCAGCGGTGGAGGTGCGAGATTAAATCAGGCTGGCTGGGTGTGTGTTATGTTCTCTGCGAAGCAGAGGTCTACGTGTTTGGCTTCAGCAGTTCTCTCGGACCCCGTGGAGAATTGCGGCCTCTGCATAAAATATCGCATGTTTGGCAGGGGTGTTCATTAAGTCCTGACTTCTGTAGGTCTGTATTGCTGATATTATATATTTTTCTTCATTGGTCTGCTGATATATATATTTTTCTCTTCAGAGTGAGGGGAAAAAATTAAAAAGTAAATGGAAAGTTAGTTTTGAATTTTTCACACCCCAAGAAGTAAATGGCAAACTTAATCAGCCTGTTCTTTGGCAAGAAGTGCTCGTTTAACCGATCGATAAAACAGCTTGGTTTGTAGCTCTGAGTGTCTGAGCTTGGTGAGTTGGGGAGAGCGGCGAGCGCTTGCAGAAAGCTCTGCTCTGCCAGACCCCCAGAACCACCACAGACTTTCAGCAGGACCATCCGTCTGAGTTATTGGTCCACCTTACCAACCTGTTGGCACCATGTGGAGAGACTGCTCTCTGGGTTCACGAATATTCTGGTATAATAGAAAAAAAATGCAATAAAAGCCTCATACTGATTTTTTTTTCTAACTCATTCAATGGTGTCTCCTGAGCCTGAATACTGAGAACTGTACAATGTCCTCCAGAGGCTGGACATTTTATACTGGAAAATGGTAAATAAACGTGTAAGATTTTCAGGCTGTTTGCCTTATTTGTTCAAAGACCTGTGAAGTGTGTTAACTGCTGCTTCATGTACTTAATTGCCTGTTTAGCTTATTTTGCCTTAGGATGTATGTGCTGTGCTGGTCTGTGTTTTTAACAATTTCTTCCTCTTTTAAATGACATTGCGAGTTTGGAAAATATGGGAACTTCAGAAGAATTTTGAACACTTTCAAAAATCTGTGTCAAATTTAACGATGGTGTCAATTTTGGACAACTTGTGGACAGCAGAGATGGAAAAGGAACCTTTTTCATGGTGGGTGACATGGGAAAGAATGTTCTAACAGCTCCTTGTGAAAGCATTTGTCACATCCCACCCCTTTTCTATAAATGTGCTTGAAAGGCATTAGGGTTCATCAGGAGACCTTTTTAATGGGGTAGTAGAGTTGTGGTTGGGTGGTAGACTTATTACAGTGCCTGGTCCTTGTCTTCATCGCTTTGGCCCCTATCTCTGAAAGGAGGAATGCCCTGGCCCTCAGACTGGACTCTGGAATGCCTTGTTAGTCACATGTGGACACTATCTTTGGATGCTGAATTCTGTCACGGGGGCTCTATGACAGCCTGGGGTGGAATATCTCCATTGGAGTCATCCTGTCACCCATTGTGTCAGCTGTTGAGGTAAAATATTTTTTGGTCAGATTGTCAGGTTTGAGCCAGAGGCTTACTCTGACTGGCCGTACCAGCATAGTTTGGTATAGGCACAAGTGCCAAGAAAGCCCCAGATATTTGAACTAAATCTCCTGAATAATTTTCATGAATAATCAAAATCATTACCCTTTGATCCACTTTGAACTATGATTCTGTATATACGTGTTTTACTTTTTTGCCGTTTAAATCCTGGCCTTCCTGTTTTTTTTGTAAGGTAGTGCAAAGCCTTTAGAGCAGGGGTGGACAATTTTGTACAGAAGGGCCGTTGAGTATGCAGGTTTGCATTGTAACTCCCTAATTAAATGACTAATTAGAGGACGGTTTGGCTGAAGAGTCTTCACACTTGGGTTTGAACAGCTGACCTAAAGGTTATCCCGAAAACCTGCATGCACACCGGCCCTTTACAGATGAGATTGCCCACCCCTGCTTTATTAGTTTATGCACCATTTAACCAGACGTGTGCACTGGAAGGGAGTGAAAGGAAGACTGAGAGCAGATCTCGTCCAGCTACACATCCAGGATAGTTGCTACAGGGCTCTGAGCTGTGAGAACATTCATGATTTTCAGCCCCTAGTTCTTGGTCATGGGAGTTTTACTTCCACAAAAATGTTCTGAGGGCAGAAGGAAGAATGATTGGTTCCAGGAGATAACCAGTCAGATTGTAGAGGAGCTGGGTTCAAGACATCTGATTGGTTGGTCCTGCCTTCTCTTGTCTCTTGGACCCACCTCCTCTACAATCTTATTGGTTCTGAGAGATAACCAATCATTCTTCCTTCTGCCCTCAGAACATTTTTGTGGAAGTAAAACTCCCATGAGCTTATTTCTTATCCCCCCCCACCCCCATTTGCTTCCTTTTCCCCATGTAATCGTCATACTGGGGCCAGCTGGGCATCTGTTCTAGATGAGACGTGAAAAACGAGCTGCTGCTGGCTTTGATGGGATCCCGATACGCTGTGCTCTGGGCTCTCTCCTCTCCATTAGACCTGCTTTAGCCCCTTTTCACTGTCTCTCGGTGTCCTCATTTCTGCTGTGGCCTGCAACTTGGCGCTGATGTAATTCTCAGGCAGCCGACATCGAGGACCTTCTGGTGTGTGTGAATGGAATAGAGCTTGCAGTTCCTTACTCTGGTATTCTAATCCAAACATGGCCCTGTCCTGTGTATGCTGGCTGCTCTGAAATGAGATTTGTGCCACAAGTACCTTTGAATTTAGTTGTGCTTTGTGAATAATCAAATTCAGAAAGTGAAATTGATTTCAGTTTATGTCCGTATACACAATGCAAATCTGTGGCTCTGGTTTAAGTCTTCTGAACACGTTGAGCATTTTGTGTTTCTGGAGTTGAGGGAGCCTTTTTTTGTTAGGAATATATGTAATGTTTTATTTGCATTGCTTGGTGAAATTTGTACCTGGTTTGACTATAAAATGAATTTCACCCAGCATTTGGAGAAAGTTGTGTAATTTCTTGGGTAATACGGATGGTTGACTTTCCAGCATGTACAGTGGAATTTAAAAGCTCGTTTCTGTATTTTTGCCCTCTTTCTCACCTTTCCACTGCTTCTTGCTCCTGTCTTTGAAGAATATATCTGTATGCATTTGAGTTACACTGCAAGTCAAATGACTTTAAATGGGGTTACGAATTTGCATTTCATATTTGAAAATGATTTACTGGTGCTGAAATTCACATTTTATCTACTTGAAACAAAACGTATAGTCTGAACATGAAGTGTGGTATAATTGAATTTGGAAACACCCCGCAGTACAGAGTCCACATTCTTAAATTAAATGCTGTAACTTTTGGCGCCAAGCTCACTCTGCAGGACACTTAGTTCCACTCCAATTGGCCTGAGATCAACTGGGTTGCATCCTCTGTATTGGATGTGAGATCACATGTCCCCGATGCGACCAGAAGCAGGGAGAGCAGGTGAGTTGCAACACCTCTAGGTTCCCTCTCATCTCCGAAAAGATGCTGCCGATCTGTCTAGGGACTTCTGGAAAGGGGAATTGGTTACCTGTGGTGTATTACTGCAGAATCAGGCAACTGCAAGTGGGAGCTGCTTGTGAAAGAGGAAATGCTTGTTCTCCTTTCCTGCAGTGCTGTCTAATCACAGTCGGGATGTTCTCCCCTGAAGTGTGTATAGCACCAGGGTTTCCATGCTAACGTGCTGCACCTGCCTTGTTGTGCGTGACTGGTTGTCACACCTACACCGTAACGTTCTCGTCTGACCTTTTTCTTATGCCACCAAACTAGGCCTCTTAATCTTGCCGTATAGGTGCGCACATTTTTTTTAAGGATTTATTTTATGATATGGTAAACTGGAGTGGTTATGAATATGTAGTTTTGTGGCTAGATAGGACCTTATGAGATGTCAGTGCCGCTTTGGCGGGCACGACGCACTGCGATGAGCTGCTGCGTGGGTGTACATGCATGAGAGGTTTGACCTTGCAGGCACTGGTGCGGACGCCCACGGTCAACCCAGAGACTGACCATCTGAGTAGCCGTCCCCTCTTATGGGGTTTACGCAAGGTGATCTGGGGGGGTAGCTTCCATGTGGAAGCCGGTTTCCTGGCCTCGCGCCTAGCCCTGGGGAAACGCGATTGGGCGTCGTGGCGCCGGCTGCGAGCTCTGACGACAGACCCTAAACCCTCCCGGGGTTTTGCAGTAATTACATGCGGATATTTCATATTACCATGCAGCCTGATGGGCTAGGGCTTGTGGCTTCAGCCCTGCGTCTCTAATCTCCTGTGTCAGGTAATTCTCGTCACCCCCGACGACGTCCCTCGTGCTGAGTGCAGGAATTAGAAAAGCCGTTTGTTGGTCTAAGCGAGCGTCTCGCAAACTGCCCTTTAAAAAAGAAAAAAAACGTGACACCATCCTTGTGATTATGAGAGAACGCGAGTCTCAGTGGCGCAGCACAGGTAGAACGTCTTCCCTTTGCAGAATCCAGAGTCAGCACATTGCTGTCTCTCTGCAGGTGGGTCATTTTGGAAGACCTGGTAAATTTATCTGAGATGCATCTCCCTAATTGCCCCCCCAATTTAAAAAAATCCATCTATGTTCCTATTGGAAATGATTGATTACAGGTGGTGCCATGACTGCTGTTAGCATGTGAATATGTCGCAGGACTAGACTCTGCTAAAGATGGTTTTGTTGGGTTTGGAGTGGCACTATCCTGCAGACTTTAGGCAGCAAGTAGACAAGGTGTTTTAACCTCTATGGTGCCAGTTCAAATTTCATATGGAGTTCTGCTGTTTTCTTAAGTAGTTTAGTAACTGGCGAATTTGTAATCTCGGCAGGTTGCCATTGTCAAGTCAATTTAAATGTTTTCATAGCTTGTGTTTTGAAAGCTGGAATGCATTTATAAGGCCAGTGCCCTAAAATGTAGTTAAAAGTGTTTATAAAAGTACTCGTGGTTGCTAGGGATGTTGTATCCATGGCTTTGCGGTGCTAATTAGATGCGTAAGTATACACCTGGGAAATAGCAACATTGTTTGAGTTAAGGCTGTTGAAAAATACATATACAGTGGAAATATAGGAAATGTTATACTGTGAAATGTAATACTTTGTCGAGAAAATTCCTAGCTGTCATTCAGTGATGGACACATTTGAAGACCCGGCCTGTGAATGTTAAGGATAGCTGAGGTGAGCCGTCCTTACCTTGTCAAAATGTGTATGTCTATCCTCTCCGGGTCAAGCTCAGATATAGCTTGAGGGGTGCCTCACTATTTGAGGCTTTGGTATTATTGATAACAGACGATCTGAAGACTTTCTGTGGAAGTCGTACTGCAGGGCTGCGATGTTCGGGTTGGTTGGTGCTCCGGTAAAGTAGCTGTGGGTCCAAAGGAGAAACTTAACGAAAACCGCACCCCTAAGAGATGTTAGCATTGGACTTTGTGTGACTGCCACTCCACCCCACCCCCCACGATACACGTCTTTGTGGTTCTGGAGAGCCCAGATCTTGTTGACAATCCACACTGATAGAAGATGTTTCCACAACTAAAATGGTGTAATTTCCGATGTACAAACAAACGGCCAGCACCATCATAGGAGTCAACAAATATGTGTCTTTAGAAGATTCCCCCACCAGTATGTGTTTCTTCTGGTGTCTTTATCTCCAGAAGAGAAGGTCCTGGGTCAAGCTGTAGTATTACTGTAATAAAGGTGGTGATTCGGTAACTGTGCTGCAGACGTTTCTGATTGGTGAATGCACTTTGCCTAAAAAAATAAATCATTTGCAAATCATAATATGAGGTCATTTTAGATTTTTCGTGCATATGTTCCTCAATGTAGTGTTGCTGGCTTGGCTCTTGGTCTATGACTGGGGTCTCCAACT